GGATGATGCTGCAGCTGAAGGGACCGTCCCAGGGGGTGTGGGGGGCGAGCCCGCTCCTGCCCGGCCGCCCAGGGCACGCAGGGACCACGCTGCGCAGGGGAGAGGGGAGCCGCTTCGAAATGAAAGGGTCCCCGCGCATGTGAGCAGAAGGCCCTGTGCCCCACCAGATGAGAGGGCTCAACTCTAGCTCCCAGAAATGGGAATCATGAGAACAACCCGCTGAACCTTCCAGGCAGGGAAGGTTAAACTGGGAGGGCAGAGTGGGCAGGGCTGGGCACCAGCACGGGTGGAAGCTGGCAGAGCACAGGGAGCCGGGCATGGGGTGGGAAACTGGACATGGAGCAGCCGGATACAGGGGACGGGGCTGGCTGGGACAAGGCTGTGCCCTCTTACAGTACCACCTACTGCCTCGGCACTACCAGTTCCTGCTGGTCACTGCCTTCCTCATCCTCTCACTGGCCGAGGGCTCCCGCCTCTACCTGGGCTACGTGGGGAACCTGCAGGAGAAGGTAAGCGCCATCTCTCTGCCCTGGCCGCAAGCCCCCTGTGCTCGGTGCGGGCTGGCCCCGCAGGGAGCTGCGGCTGGGCTGGATGCCCGGAACCTGAGCGCCTGCCACCGGCTCTTCCTCCTGGAGCTGTGCTGGGAGGGGACCCTGGGGGCAGGGAAGGAAGGGGACCCCCTGGCTGTCCTGCTGTATCCCTCCCCATGCTGCGGTGTGAGGCTCCAGCGCTGGGACTGACAGCATCCGACTGCATCCAGGCCCAGCTCTGCACTTGGTACCTGGGTGCTGAGGCAGGCAGAGTGGCCAACGCAGGGAGCTCCCGGGGCAGAGCGGGTCCCCGCACACCACCGATGGCCTCTGCTCCCACAGGTGCCCGAGCTGGCCGGGTTCCTCCTCCTCTCCTTCCTGATCCAGCTGCCCCTCCTGCTCTTTCCTGCTGACGGACAGCCGCATCATCCGCCTGCCGCTGGAGACGGTCATGCACAGCCTGCTCCTGGCCTTCCTCATCGCCGAGATGGTGGCTGCCTTCCTCGCGCTGAAGACCATGACCAAGCAGCTGGCGGCACAGTTCTACCTGCGGCAGTTGAAGGAGGGTGGCAGGGGAGGGCCGGGGCAGGGGGTGGCAGGCAGCTGAGGAGTGCTGCTCCAGGACCCCTCCAGCCCATGCAGTCAGCCCCAGCAGGGAGCATTAAAGGGTGCTGGGACCCCCGCTGTGTCTCCACATGCTGTGGTTTTGAGCTGGGCAGCTTGCAGAACTCCCGGAGCACCCCATGGGTACAGACGGGATCAGTCCCTGCCCCAGGCCAACACAGCCCAGGGCAGGTGAGAGTACAGGGTTCAGCACCCCCGAATTGCTCAGGCTCACCCCAGGGCTGCACTTGCCCTCACTGAGCATCAGCCCTGACAGGAGGCAGGAACCAAAGGGCCCAGCAGCCTCTGCACCCCCCAGCAAGAACCAGCTCAGGCCTGCCGCCTCATGCTCGGCTCTTAAACCCTCCCTGAGCCTGAGCCCAGCCCTGCTGCTCCCTGAGGACCTCCCCATGAAGCCATCCCAGCTGGAAGCACACAGGGCATTGCAGGTGCAAGAGTGGCACCACAAAACCTTCACAGCCACCCCCAGGGTGAGAGCCACCTCCTGCTTTCTCAACAGCTTTATTTCGTTGCATCCCCGTTTTTCACGGGAAATCACAGCCCATGGCCATCTGGAACATGAAGAAGCGCAAAGTGCTTTAAGCCTCTTGTGCTGAGCATGGGCCGGCCCCTTCCCAGCAAGCTCCAGTTCCCACAGCAGCTCCGCAGCACGGCTCTGCTCGGTCACTGGCCGGTCAGGGCTGGGAGTCACACAGGGGATGGCTTTGTGCTCGAGGAGCCAAGAACTTCTGCTGATGCAAACATTTCTCCAGGAAAGGCAGACCCTAACCCCAGCAGCACATGCTCGGGCCAGAACTAGGCCACTGCCACCTGGGCCGCAGCCGTACCCCCACTGCATCTACCTGGAGGTTGCTCTGGAATGAAGGGTGCTTGTGACGGAGCATTCCCGATGTCCCTAAGCTTCAGCCTCAGTCTTACCTTTAGGGGGTTTTGCCTGTGAAATGAACAGGGGCATCTCAGTACACAAGGGACAAGGGCAGAGCCCGGGAGCAGCCCTGCACTGCTCTGCTCAGTCCCACGTGGCCAGGTTCTGAGACCCTCGCTCCACTCGCACGTTGAGATCAGGCATTAGGAACAACTTTTCCACGCCCCCCCCCAGTAAGGGTGGTGCAGCCCTGGGGCAGTTCCACCAGGAGCTGGGGGATCTCTGCCCTCAGGGGTTTCTAAGTCCTGGCCAGATAAACCTGAAGGCAACCCAAGCCAGGGCTGGAAGCTCTGTGGGGGCTCCCAGCCCACACCCGGTGACTCCCTGACTTGCCAGGGCTGGGCAGCGCCAAAGCAGGAACCACGCATGGCAAAACCCATCACTGAACCACAGCGTCCGCACTGACCCTGTGCCCGGGCACACGCTGCAGAGCTGCCTGCTCTCCACATGGAGTTTGGCCAGATTCAGGTCAGGAGAGGGGGAACAAATGTGGAGCTGGGTCAGGTTTGTACAATGAGGTGCCCCTGTCTGATGGCAGTTGAGGGAGAGGTACAGCTTCCTCTGCAGCCCGGGCACCACCGGCTCCCTCTCTTCCACTCTGCTGCCTGCTGTCATCAAACTCAAGAGTTTGAGCTCTGCCAGGGTCAGTTCAGACCAGCCACCAAGCCCAAGAGCTGAATGCTAAGAACTGCTCCACCGGGGTTCTCCCAGATCCCGGGAACTGAGTTTTAACTTTAAGGGGCAGAAAATAATCAAAACCACTTGCTAAGCTTCACTCCCACCTCACCCCTCCAAAGCGGCCCCATCCTTACCTCCTCGAACTTCTCCTTCCAGTAGAAGTCAGCCTTCGCATCCAGGTAGAGCAGAACCAGGTCACAGAGCACCGTGGCCTGGAGACAGACCAAGGCAGCGGGGCAGTCAGCAGGAGTG